TTCACTATACCAATTCAACAAGTACAAGTTACCAAACTTCGTACCCAATCAGACCCACTATTCCATTCTCATGATCTACTGTCGTAGATACCTCTAGCCTCCTACTAGACTTCCTGATCCACCTCCTGCAGCCCAATCTACTGTCCACTACAATCCCTTGTTCCTTAACTGATTGTATCACCAAGTGGAATTCCAAGAGTCCGATTCACTGCACTTGACATCCACATCTCTCAATTCCCAATGAGAGAGTCTATTTCTCAAAAGATTAAGGAAGAATGGTATTTTGGGTTATGTAAATTTGATGTTTTTCCCAAAACAATGGTTGTCGAATCACAAGATTGATGTAGATGGAATCACCAATTAATTGCACCTTGGATCTCTTCAAATATGTTATGAATATGTTTAGCAATGAAAGAATAATGTAGCAACCTCTCAAAATTCGTACTAGGGCTTCGGTCTTTATATTTGAAGGTGTCTAGGTGGTATGGGTCGAGTAAAACACTTCAAAAATGTGAACTACAGGTTTCGCCGCATAGGAATGTCACTCAAGCAAGATGCCAATGAGAATCGAGCGAGAAGTGTTCTTTTTTTTTCTCGCTCGAGCAAAATGTCGCGAGAATCGAGCGATAGTGAGCAATTATCAATATTTTCATCATAACTTTCTCTTCCAATATCCGATTGAGGTTATTCATCTTGTATTAGAAAGCTAACTCAAGGGGCTACAATTCTTCTAATGTAGCTTTGTCCAAATTCCAATGTTTTCTATGAGAAAAATACATTTCAAATTATGATTGAAAATTCGAGACATAATTTGTGTGGCTCTTTGATATTCTTTAAACTTCCAATTGCATTCCAATGAACTTATGTGATCTTCTTGGACATCTTGGACTCCTTCAATGACTCGAACACTAATTTACCTCATCTATGCAAAATTGTACCATAAGCCCTTAACTTTTACAAGAATGTTCGATTGAGTCCCTAACTTTTACAAACATACAATTACACCTGTTTTGTCTATAGAATTGCCAATCACACTTCAGACCTAACAAACTCCCTATTGGGCATTCTATGACAAAACCATACACAATAAGTCAGGACTATACAAATATAAGTCATGACTCTAGACACGATCTATTTTACCCAGCAAACCCAATCACTGAGTCTTGCATTCCTTGCACATGTTTCCTGAAATCCACAAATTCATATACCTAGTGTAAAAACACTTAACACAAGAACATTAAAGCACTTAATCACAAACACATTAACATGCTAGTTTGAGACGTGATATTGATATCAATCAAAACACCAACACCACTAAACATCAATGGATATAATATGGAATGCAATGCCCCCCCGCTACTGCATACTGCAAAATGTCGTAAATGTTATGCAGTGAATACAATGCTTCTATGTCTCTCCCCAATGACCCCTATCAGTATGCTCTTTTATATGTTTTTCTCCCCCTCAATTATACTTTTCTCTCCCCTTTTTTGTTACAAATGCTGAAGGGAATCATATCAAGAATAAGCTAAGCAAATAACACATAATAACTCAAAAATGCAGTTGATAGCATGCAAAAGCAAAATTAACAAGTAGCATACCTCCCCCACATACTCAGTTAGACCAAAATGGAGTAGAAAGCAGAAGTGACTTATGCGTGTAAAGTATCACTATTCCAATGCAAACAAGACTCCAAATCTTAATTTTGTGAGAAGGGACATGCCAATCACTGCCAGTAAGTATATTCTTCTACTAATGAAAGTCAAACCATGTAATGTGTAGTAGGACCTATACTTATTATTTTTACTTATCTCCCCCTTACTATAAGCTTTTATATTTTTCAGATTTTCATATTATTTCAACTCTTCATATTTTTCACATTTTTCTCATTTTTCTAGCTTATTAAATTTTTATCTGAAGTGTAGGTTCTTCTCTATTAGACAACTAAGATGACCTCTGTAACGAGCTTTAGGCCGATTACAAGTTAGTTGATTGTTCGTCAAATTTCCACAAGTGTACGGGTTCGTTGTACAAGTAATAATCGTGATGAGAGAGTTATCGTCCCACAGGGAATAATGATCAATTTTAGTATATTCGATATATTTAAATTTGTGTTTGTAACCAAAACATGATCGAATGAATACCTAGCTAATTTTTATAACTAAATCTTGTGAAAATAATGAAAGTTGGTTTAAAAATCAAATTTGTGAACGTATTAGATTTCCGACGCCATTGATTAATTCTTAGTTCTAATTCTCAACCACTAATAATTATCTCAATTCATGCAATTATGACGGTCGATAATTTCACTATTATTTATTATTCTTTCCCAAGATATACTAAACCTATGGTTACCACGAGACAATCCTATTCTTTGTCCGAATTCATATGGCAAACATGTATTGACATTTAGGATTATCACACATAACCGCACACGCCATAAATATTGTTCCTAACATTTATTGCCCATGTGTCCCAATAATAGTGTTCTACCTATCGTGAGTTTTTCAATACAACGAATAAGAAACTTATTGTCCTAATGGTGCACAAAAATTAAAACAACATAAATAAGCATATTAATGGAATCACAACGCAAGAATTAACATAAAAACGTAGGTCTCGAATTAAAAACAAGAATTAAACAATTTTATCATCTATCCAATACGTGAAAAGACTTAGCCTAGCATAATGTTGGAATCAAACAAATAAAATTGGAAAGACATCACCGCGAAATTGACGTGATTATTGCCAAAGAAGTCTAGAACCTTTTTCTTTGCTGTCGATATCTTTTCCCTTCAAATTCAGCCCAATGTTTGATTCCTTTCCGCCTCTCTTTTTGTGCGTAATCTTGGCTGCCTCCCAATGTGTATATATATAATATAATTTAGCAGCAAAAGTTTCCTCACCAGGCTACCTTTTGTCAATGTCTCTTCCCTAGTTGGCTACTTTTTCAATGTATATATATATAATAATTTCCCCAAGTTCCGCCAATGTGTGTATAAATATCTCCCCAGTTGGCTGCCGTCTCATTTCTGTAATTTTCCCTAGATTTGTGGCCGTCTTCTCCTCCGTTCCCATTTTTCCTCCAAGTTGGCGTGTGAAATATATAATGGCTGCTGCAATTTCTCTTTAATTTCTCCAATAGCAGGCCTCTTTTCCTTCAAATCCAATTAATGTTCAACCAACTAAATATTTTGACTCCAATTCATGGTCAAATTGAGGCCCGTTAATAAATTATTTTTCTTCAAGTCTTCAACTTTCAAAGTATGAAGTTTGGTCCACAACTTCTATTTAATCGTCAATTTATTCTTTTCTTTTCCAATTGCTTCAAAACGAATCGAACACTGAAATGAACAAAAATTAATCTAAATTAAATAAACTTCAATAATTTCACGACACAAAGGTTTAATAAAATGGTTTAAATAAGTACACAAATTATACTCATCAAACACCCTCCAAACTTAAACCTCTGTTTGTCCTCGAACAAAACTATAACCTAAATAATAATAAATACACGAACATGCAAAAATATTTGGTTGGACTGTTTAGCTTTTTATCTCAAGATTTGAAATCATGGCATTAAATCGACAAACTGCTTCAACTTTACAATATCAAACTAATATCCACTTTTCCAATGCAAAACTGATGTGTTAGTGTGAAGAACTAAATTGACATTAATGAATTCACAAGATGTTCCAATTCTCGACCCTCTATGGTCAAATATATCATTTCGTCTCTTGTAAAATTTACACACCCCCAAATTTATTCATTTTCACTCTTTTCCCAGTGTGTGATCTAAGATTGAATTTTTATTACTATCCTCACCTCTCCAATTCAGGTGGACATCACTAGTTGGAAGCCAACAAATCTATGAACAAGGATTCTCCAATTATTTGATTGCTTCGACTATTAAGATTCAATTAGGCTAAACATCCTTCATCGAAAGTCAAATTTTCTCGAATAAGTGCTTGGACTTACAAGGCATTTAGTGCTTCTTCTTCTTTTTTTAGCACTCTCTCTTAAGCTTTCTAGACGACCCATGTAGTAGGCTTTAGGCTGATGACTCCCAAGTCAAACGACTTTAGGGCACCAGGTTTTCAAATACCCTTACAGGCTTAATAACTCGAGTAAAAAAAGTTTCAAAGAGAACAATTTTTTAAGGCAATTTAACCTCTGATTGTTTTTTAAATGACCCCTGTAACGATATTTAGGCCGATGACTCCCAAGTCAGACTACTTTAGAGCTCCAGATTTTAAGATACCCTTGCAGGCTTAATTGCTTGAGTCATAAAGGCTTCAAAGAGAAATTTTAAATTTCAAAATATATGCATTGATTAGTGCAATGACCCTTATCACACACCTATTCAAGCAAACCAAACCCCACTTTAAGACTGTCACCCAATTTTATCATGTTAATCTCAAGCAATCCACACAAACATTTTCACACAAGGAATCCACATTCACATCTGTATCTTCCTACAATAGTAAGATCTCCCCAAATTGTACTAAATTTGGTCTACGGATAAATAATTCGTATAGTTTAGGTAACATCTACGTCCAACTAAAACAATCTATCACATGCATAAATCAACTCATTTCATCAAAATGTCAAACTCAATTCTAGTGCGCATATAATATCAAGTTTTGCAAGTTAAGTTTCAATCAATCTAGCATACATCATATCCACAGTTCATAAATCAACGTCAAGTCTCAAATTTAATCATCATTGTCAACTAAATTTTCCAACTCACACAAGCACACAATAAAAAATAAACAAATAAATAAAAAAATATAAATTTAACGATTTATTTAATTTTATTTATTTATTTATTTAACTTAACACACAATTTTTTTTATTAATTAAACGTACAAAAACAATACACGAAAACTAAAAACACAAAGTGTTTTTCACCCCCAAACTTAAATCCGACATTATCTTCAATGTCTTAAAACATAATTAAGAATATAAGGAGATAGGGAAGAAAAAGATGAAGGTACTCCTCAAAATTTTCTATTGAACATGGAAGATATGTAGGTGACGGCTAGACAATCTTTCTCATCATGCTCTCCCCTTGGTCGATGTTGGTTTGAGTGTTCCATGACGTCATATTCCTGCATACGGCAATCAAATCAAACATTAGAGATCAAATAATCTAAAACATGTGTTAGTTAGCCCAAACATTCGAAGTAATTATATTTAAGGGCCTCAGTGAAAACATGATTGGATGATGATACTCTATAAATTTAAACGTGCCTAAATCTAATGCAAACTAATAATTAAAAAAACGTCTATATGCAATGCGATGTCGAAAACAAAATAAATAAAATATTTAGAAATTGGGTTGTCTCCCAATAAGTGCTTAATTTATAGTCTTTGGCTAGACTTTGTTGTTTTGACTATTCATGGTGGCTTGAAGAGGGAATTTTCAGTTCTGCATTTTATGTACTGATTGTACTTCTTTCTTTCATCTTTCATCCTCTACAAAATCAAGTTTCCATTGCTATTCCAACCATTAATTCCACCTTCATTTGGCCTGCCTTTGTAGCTCTCCTAATGGTCAACTCGTTGGCAATCCTCAAAGTAAGATGGTTGCTTGATTGGATTCTCCATGGTGAAACTCTGTTGCTTATCCTCTACCCTCAAGACTATCTCATCAGCATCAAAATCCAGCAAGGCTCGACTTGTAGAAAAAAATGGTCTTCCCAAGATTATTGCCATCTGATATGCCTCTTCTATGTCAAGGATGATGAAGTCAGTTGGAAAAATAAACACCCCCACCTTGATAAGCATGTCTTCGACTATTCTGTAGGGGTGTTTCAATGATCTTTCCGCCAACTGAAGGATAATAGATGCTGCCTTAGGATCTCCTAATCCCAGTTTCCTGTAAAGAGGTAAGGAAATCAAATTAATACTCGCTCCTGAATCAATTAAAAAATTTATATCATTTAAATCTCCTATCGAGCAAGGTAGAGTAAAACTCCCTGGATCTTTAAGTTTAGGAGGGATCCTGTGCTGGATGATCGCGCTCCATTCTTCAGATAGTACTATTGTTTCATGTTCCGGAAGCTTTCTCTTCTTAGTTAACATCTCCTTCAAAAATTTAGAATAGTTTGGTATTTGAAGGATAGCGTCGATGAATGGGATGTTGACCTATAGCTTTTTAAGGACCTCCAAGAATTTCATAGCTTGCTTCTCCAAGTTGGCTTTTTGCAACCTTTGAGGAAAAGGGACCGGGGGTGTTAATGTAGTGCCAAGAACATTTGCCTTAAGCTGTGAACTATTTGAAACTATCTTTTGATCATTTTCTATTGCTTCTTTAGACTGCTCCACCAGTTCTTCCGTCGTGGTAGGCACTTGATTCTCCACAGTCCCCTTCTTTTCCACTGTGATTTCTGGTAGCTGAACACCACTCCTAGTGGTGATGGCCTGAACCTGCTGCACTGTTGGTTGTCTTCGTAGTCTTCGAGAAAACGGAATCGATGGCACATATGCCTTGACAAGGTTGGCGGGAGTGAATGATGGGAGCTCAATGATGGGAGCTTAATAGTTGCATAATTTATCGCCTCAACTGCTAATACTTACTTCCGTGGGTTTTTCTCAGTGTCACTCGGTAAGGTACCCGATGGTCTATTAGCTATTGTAGTTGCGATCTGTCCCATTTGTTGTTCCAAATTCTTGATAGACACCTATTGATTTTGAAAGTTAGTTTCAGTCTTAGTAATGTATTAAGTCAGCAAATCTTCCAATGATGGCTTTCTTCCTTACTGTTGTTGCTGTTGGAACATTGGTGATTTATTCTTATTGTTTCCTCCTTGTTCTTGTCCCTAATTATTAGACCATAAAACAATTGGATGATTCCTCCACCCCGGATTATATGTGTTGGAGAAAGGATTATTTTACTATTTCTGAAAGTTCTACGCATAGTTTACTTATTCAGATTGATTAACATGTGTTGATGCCAAAGGACAGCGTATAGTAGCATGATCTCCTCTACAACCTTCGCAAACAGGCGGCAATTGGTGTACTATGTTAACTGATTTATACAGATTGTCCATTTTCATTGTAAGAACTTCCATTTGCGCAGCCAGTACCGTCACTGCATCCACGTTGTGTACCCATGCTATTTTCCTTGGAGCTTTCCTATCGGCTGGCCACATCGATTGATTTTCAGCTATTCTTTCATACAAATCACGGGCCTCATCGACGTCAAGTTTCATAACCGATCTCCCCGCTGAAGCATCTATCATATTCCCGAACTCTTGTTTTAGACCATAATAGAAGAGATATTGCTGAGCCTGCTTAGGAATGTCAAGGCTGGGGCATCTTCTGAAAAAATTCTTGAACCTCTCCCATGCCTCAGGATAGCTCTCTAAATCTCTCTACTTGAAGGTGTGGACATTATTCCTGATTTGGTGAACTCGAGAAGGTGGAAAGAATTTCATCATAAATTTTTGAACCATATCGTTCCATGATTGAATGCTCCCTGGTGGTAAATAAAGGAACCATTCTCTCGCAGCATCTTTCAAAGTATGAGAGAATAATCTCATTTGGAACGCATCTACAGATATCTCTTCTTGACTGATCACTTTACATAACATGAGAAAAGCAAAGATGTGTTTATGAGGATTTTTCGTGACTTTTCTGAAGAACTTGACGTCTTGATGATTTTAAAACAGATTGATGACATCTGGTCTGAGGTGGAAATTAGGTTGCCCAAAGGGAAGATATACCACAGCTGGTTGCACTGGTGCAGAAATTGGATTGATATAACCTCCAACTAAGACAGGAGCTCCGTTCTAGATAGCTCTTGGTTGATTTGGCTGCGGTATTGGCTCGTGAAGCTAAACCTGATTCTGTGGTTGATTCTGATTATCAGCCATTCTCCTAGCTTGATGTTGTACCCTTCTACGAGTTCTGAATGTCCTTTCAATTTCGTGGTCTATTGGAAAGAGATCTGGATGATCAAGATTTTACCTAAAATATAGTCGCCTAAAAAGTGTCAAAACACGAGAGAATAAAACAGTGTAATATTCGCCTAAAAACAACAAATATAATAATAATAATAATAAAATAAAAAATAAAAATGAATCTAAAATATCTAATAACTAAAATTAACACCTTTATTCCCTGGCAACGGCGTCAAAAACTTGTTTGTCAAATTTCCGCAAGCGTACGAATTCGTTGTACAAGTAATAATCGTGATGAGAAAGTTATCGTCCCACAGGGAATAATGATCAATTTTAGTATATTTGATATATTTAAATTCGTGTTCGTAACCAAAAGATGATCGAATGAATACCTAACTAATTTTTATAACTAAATCTTGTAAAAATAATGAAAGTAGGTTTAAAAATCAAATGTGCGAACGTATTGGATTTTCGACGCCATTGATAAATTCTTAGTTCTAATTCTCAACCATTAATAATTATCTCAATTCATGCAATTATGACAGTCGATAATTTCACTATTATTTATTATTTTTCCCAAGATATACTAAACCTATGGTTACCACGAGACAATCCTATTCATAGTCCGAATTCATATGGCAAATATGCATTGACATTTAGGATTACCACACATAGCCGCACACGTCATAAATATTATTCCTAACATTTATTGTCCGTGCATCCCAATAATAGTATTCTACCTATTGTGAGTTTTCCAACACAACGAATAAGAATCTTATTGTCCTAATGGTGCACAAACATTAAAATAATATAAATAGGCATATTAATGGAAACACAATGCAAGAATTAACATAAATTTCTCTTTAGTTTCTCCAACAGCAGCACTCTTTTCCTTCAAATCCAATTAGTGTTCAACCAATTAAATATTTTGACTCCAATTCATGGTCCAATTGAGGCCCATTAATAAATTATTTTTCTTCAAGTCCTCAACTTTCAAAGTATGAAGTTTGGTCCACAACTTCTAGTTAATCGTCAATTTATCCTTTTCTTTTCCAATTGCTTCAAAACGGATCGAACACTGAAACGAACAAAAATTAATCTAAATTAAATAAACTTTAATAATTTCACGACATAAAAGTTTAATAAAATGATCTAAATAAGTACACAAATTACACTCATTATTGATCATAGGCACCAGGTTTTAAGAGACCCGCACATGGTTAATTGCTCGAATCAAATAGGCCCCAAAAAAGAACATTAAGATATTGAGCTTTAATATGGGGGATAATTTTCGGGGTTATGTCTACTAAATATTGGTCAATTCATATTCAAAGTCACCCTATCAACATGTGACGGCCATCCCGAATCTCACACATGCGATAGAATCCACTAACAAATTCATAGTGTGTGCAGTGTAGATGATACATGATGACACTTATACTAAAGTAATTCAAAAAGACCTAAACAAATAATGAAAATTATTCCATAGCTTATCAATTTTAGCTCATATATGATCACAACCAACAAATTCAAGAAATATGTGTCATGCTGTAGCAATTTTCATAACCAATTATTTTTGTCTTTTTTAATTTTTTTAATTTTTTTGTGTTTTTCATTTTCACTAAAATGAGTGCCCCACACAAAAGAAAATAAAGTCAAGCACACAAAGATAAAATTAAATATGCATGTGCCAAAACAAACAAATGAAAATGCACATGCAAAAAAAAAAAATTAAAAAAAAAAAAACAACCAAAATATACGTGATGCGTGCAACAATTAAGAGTAGTCATGCATAAAAAAATACCTAATCAAGTAGGTGTATAAGTGTTCTTTCCTTTAAAAGCACCACGATCTATTACCAAATTCAAGAAATTGCTCTTCTTCACCCAAACCTGTCTAGAACGGGAATTGTTTTCAGATAGCTGTGTTACCAATTGGGTCAAACGATTCACTTGATCAATAAGAAATCCAATCTGACCAACATACACCTGATTTTTGTCATTTTTCAAGTTCAAGCATTTCCTATTATTCAGGTAGTGATGACATCTAGGGAGGATGTGACCTAACTCTCCACACTGAAAGTATGTTGGAATAAACCTAGGACCTGTGTTATGTGGACACTGATTTCTATTCCTAGGTCGATGGGTCCTACGACGTCTGGTAGACCTACATCTAGAAGATCCCACAACATTAGATATGGGGTAAGTCACAATGTTAGGCTGATCAGTAGCACAAAGAAAGGTGGCATGTGAAGTACTAGCAGCATTACTATCAAAACCTAGACCTCCCTTATCACCAGTCGACTTGCCTATTCTTAGAATATTTTCTAGTTTTTCAGAACTGTTAGAAAAGGCAAGTATCTGAGACCTAGATAACTTTAGCTCACTCTCAAGTTGCTTAATCTGAATAGTTAAGGTCTCATTCTCAACGGTCGGCTCACTTACTCTCCTAGAGGACATCTTATTCTTACTGGTGAGATCACTAACCTGGGCCTCTAACTGTTCTTTCTCTAACCTAAGTTCCTTCACTTTCTTGCTCAGCACCTGGTTTGTACCTATGATCTTGAGGCTTTCTTCATACATCCTCTCATAAGCTTCTTCTAGATCTTCCTCACTTCCACCCTTATCACCAGACTTTTCACTACTATCTAGGTCCTCATCCCTTTCACTCCCCTGTTCGGATCCACTCTTAATCTTAGCAATGAAGGCCACATATTTTCCACTCTCCTCACGTGTAGATTTCTCACTCTGATTGTCCGAGCTAGACTTGTCATCAATGAGAGTAGTATTCATTGCCTTCTCTTCAACTCTCTTAGCATTCGGGCACTCACTCTTCACGTGATCGAAACCCCGATAGTTATCGCATCTCATGAATTTAGATTTTCTCCGAGATTCACTCGGGCTAACTTTTTGTCTCTCTTGAGGCTTCTTCTTATTTATAAATATTTTTCGAAATTTCTTAGCTAGGTAAGCCATCTCCTCATCATTTTGTGAATCTGAATCAGAAGATTCCATCAGATTATTCCTAGCGGATTTCAAGGCTATGGAATTTTTCTTTAGCGGGATTGTCTAAGGTCAACTCATAGGTCTGGAGGGATCCAACTAACTCCTTTACTTTGATAGTATCTATGTTCTTACTTTCCTCAATAGCTATGACTTTCGGCCTGAAACGCTCAGGTAAGGATCTAAGAATTTTTCTAACTATCTTGGGCTTGGGAATTTTCTTACCTAGGTTGAAGGAGAAATTCACTATGTCATTTAAGCTCGCATAAAAGACATCAAATGTCTCATCATCTCTCATCTTGATTTCTTCGAACCTACAGGTCAGCATCCGTAACTTAGAATTTTTAAGGCCTGGGTTCTCTCATGTGTGGTTTGTAAAATGTCCCAAACATCCTTAGCTACCTCACACATAGATGCTCTCCTAAATTCCTCGGAGGACACAACCATAAACAATGCATGTATGGCCTTGCTATTAAAATGACAGCTATCCAATTGTGCTCTAGACCAGTTTTCTACGGATGTGGACTATCTACTGTGGTACCAGGAGGCAGACCAACCATTCACTACACTCCGCCAGACACGCTCATCCATGGATTTCAAAAATGCCCTCATTCTAACCTTCCAATACGCATAGTTACTACCATCAAAGTGGAGCGGCACATTCAACGAGGTGCTCTTCTAGACTATTTAAGGTCAAGACACGATTTTAGGCTCTGATACCACTTGAAAAGTTACCTAAAATGCTTAGATAAGCTAAAAAGTTCGATTAACGCGATACTGTGTCAAATTCAAAATTTACGCGTTACCAAGTTTATGTTCAAAGTTAACAATTTGTTTGACCTTACGTGCATAATTAATTAATTAAAGTAACAAGTTACTTTAATTAATCTCTAGATGGTTAAACATACAATCCAATTAATTCCTAAGGTTGAATTGTCGATTTACGTAGTGTAAAGTAAACAATAAACACAACAACTCACAATATGATGACAAAGAAACCCCAACATGGGTAAAACTCTGGGACCAAGCCAGTGATGTCCACTATACCAATTCAGCAAGTACAAGTTACCAAACTTCATACCCAATCAGACCCGCCATTCCAGTCTCATGATCTACTACCGTAAATACCTTTAGCCTCCTACTAGACTTCATGATCTACCTCCTGCAGCTCAATCTGCTATCCATTATAGCCTCTTGGTCCTTAGCTGATTGTATCACCAAGTGGAATTCCAAGAACCGCTTATTCTTGTCTGATTCACTGCGCTTGACATCCATCTCTCTCAATCCTCAATAAGAGAGTCCCTTCCTTAAAAGATTAAGGAAGAACGTGTTTTGGGTTATGTAAATTTGATGTTTTTCCCAAAATAATGGTTGTCGGATCACAAGATTGATGTCGATGGAATCACCGATTAACTGCAACTTGGATCTCTTCAAATCTGTTATGAATATGTTTGGCAATGGAAGAAAAATGTAGCAACCTATCAAAATTTGTGCTAGGGCTTGAGTATTTATATTTGAAGGTGTCTAGGTGGTATGAACCGAGTAAAACATTTCAACATAGTGAATTTCACAAAGATCTTTGTGGATGAAATCACGAGTCTATATCATGTTATCTTGACGATACATGAAATTTGAAATACGTGATAGTCAACTCATCTGACATGACTATTAATGTTATCTTTAAAAAATTTAATATGCTTGAAGCATAACTCAAATGATACATGCCCCCCAAGAACCATATTCTCGGATTATTATATTGATTATGTGATCTTTTTGGACATCTTGGACTCTTTTTTTCAACCACTCGAACACTAATTTACCTCATCTATACAGAATTGCACCCTATGCCCTTGACTTTTACAAGAATGTTCAGTTGAGTCCCTGACTTTTACAAACATATAATTACTCTCGTTTTGTCTACAGAATTGCCAATCACACTTTCAAACCTAACAGAGATAGTATATTTGAACTATTCAAAAGGCATAATGAAGTTGTCATTATTGCAATGCTCTCAACAGTTGCATTATATAAAGATCTGAATTGGATCCTACTCGAATTGCAAGATGGACGAAAAGGCTGCCGTTTTAGTCCTTTCAACATTTCTCTCTACTGTCAACGTACTCCTTTGTAGTCATTAACCACAACCTCTAGTGCTCAATTTGGATGTAGTCACAAGCCCACAAGCTTCATAACCTCAGTGATTTTCTGCCTGTTTTATCGACAAAATCGAAACATTAACGATTCTTGTGAAGTCCATATTGAACTAGCGTATTCGATGATGATATGAGGGGCTTGAAGAGGTTGAATCAAAGGGCCGAGGACTGTCAAAGAATCAGAGAGGGTAGGTTCTGTTCTTTACATTGTCTTTAGTATATATCTTCAAGAACCTAAAGGGTGAAGTAAATCGAAGTAAGGGTCTTTCGGTATATTATCTTCCAGATCCTAAAAGGGAAAGCAAATTGAAGTAAGTTGATGGAAATAATATAACATCTTTAAGATCAACACAAGTAGAGAGTTATTCAAGTTGAGAATCTCTATCCCATGTTCATATTGGAAGTTAAAAAATATATTTTTCTCATAAAAATCTAAGAAGATTTGATGTCCCAAATTATGGAGTAATTGATATTTTTCCCCAAATGGATGAGCAATGAAAATTGTTCACTAACTAGATCCTCAACTTTTGGAACCTTAGTTGACGCTATGTTATATAAATGATTGATTACGATAGCAAAGCAAGTGAAGGCAATTATCCAAATAACTTACATTATACTACCTTGACCATCGTTTTAGTAGATCGACTACAACAATCCTAGCATGACTTTCACTATAATAGATCGACTACTGTTATGCTATCCTGACTACCACTATAGTAGAGCGACTACCATCATGCTATCTAACTGACACTATGGTAGAGTGACTATCACTATGCTATCTTAACCACCAATGTGGTAGACTGACTATCATTATACTAGCCCAACTACCACTATAGTAAATCGACTATTGCTATCCTGAATTTTATTATGCTAGACGACTTACGCTATGCTAAACAACTCTCGCTATGATAGATCAATTATCATGACTCTCAACTCTCTGAACATATTTTTTAGTTGATTGATAACTGTTTGACAGTTATCATTGATCCCACTAACTGTCTAGCGGGTGGAAACCGTCCACTCAAGTCGTGCATAAAACTATTTAGTGGATGGATATGCTACACTAGATATGTGGACGATAACCGTTTGATAGTTTTACGACATCAAACACTTATAGATACTCTAAAGGCATGTCAAGTATGGGGATTTAGTTTTCTTAACATATTTTCTCTCTGTTTCTTTAAGTCTTTTTGTTCAAACCCCATTACTAATTCTCAAACCGGAGATACAATGGGGGAGAAAGCTCCAACCTCTTTTCGCATGTGTTCAATTTCTCATCGGAACAACAAAAGCTTCCTTGCTCCACTAAGGATGTCCAAATGTCGTTTCAATATCATTTCACTAATCATCACAACTTTTTAGCGAAAAAGAAGAAAAAAGAGCTCAACATAGCATGTGATTGGAAACTAAGTATTGAGAGTCAAACTCAACACAATTTGCTTGTCTGGAAAAATCGAGTTTGAGTTAGACTGTTCCTCTAACTTACAGAGCAAGGGTGGATGGATGTAAGAATAAACAAAAGGCAAATATAAATACATTTAAAGTTCTTTTTTGAACAAAAATGTATTGAAGTCTGTATGGTGATATTGATTTATTTTCCATTTAAATGTGAATACCTAAAAGAGGAAATTGGAAAATATGTCCATTTTTAAAGATACATTTGGAAAATGATCAACGGAGGCGGACCCAAGTGGGGTCTCATAGGGTCACTTGACCCTCCAGCTTTTTCAAAAAAATTTTTTGGCTTAGTTTTCGGCTCACTATAAAATATCAAACGAAATTGAAATATTATATTTTCAATATCATTTTGAAGTACTCACGGCCTAATATTTCACGTCGCTAATGGTGTGCGAAATGGCCAATCGTAGCAAATATTACGACGCGTTAAAGTTGGTCATGCCAAACTAATATTTCGAGAATTTCGATAACAAGCTAACTTTAAAAAAATTTTGACGATTATACGCTAACCGTATCCATAAATCTTCTATATTCTCGCGAAAATCATTTCGAGAACTATATTATAAACATATCGAATGATCTAAATGAATATCGAAAATAGTTAAACATACATTTAACGTGTATGCTAAAAAGAGACGTATAACTCGTCTTTTTTGAAAAAAAATTAATTATTTTATTAATGTTTATTATTTTTGCGCGACAAATTTCTCAATATAATTTATATCATTTTATTAGAATATTTTATGTGGTATGACGTCGAATTTTTTTTTTTGAATGTAAAAATTCTTAATAAAATTTTTATTACTTCATAGAGGTTATAAATTTTCATACTACTTTTCATTTTGATTATTTTTATATCTGGAAAAAAATTTATATATAAAAAAATTCAATCGTTTTTAGGACTTTTTTTATTATTGTTATCTTTTCCTCTCAATCAATTAATTTTTTTTTCAAATGACGTCAAAAATTTTATTAAGAAACTTATTAGATTATTTAAAAAAATTAATTGATTGAGAGGAAAAAGTAACAATAATAATGAAAAAAAAATCCTAAAAATAATCTTTTTTTATATATAAAAATTTTTCAGATGAAAAATAATCAAGATGAAAAAGTAGTATAACAGTTTATAACCATATAAAGTAATAAAAAATATATTCGTCACTTTTTTTAAAAATTTGATTGTGACCCCCTAATATAAAATGTATGCGTCAGCGTCGGCTCTTGATGATCAATACTTGTAAGTTTTGGGACAACCAACACATTTTGAATAAACAGACAAAAATATTCTTAAAAATTAGCCAATTACTAGCTACATCTAAAATCCTTCTACTTTCCCAAAAATTATTCAAATCATCGACATCTCCACCATTGTTCTAGCTCATCCCACCCACTTTTTCTTTTACACCTTCACCTTCACGTCCACCACCACACTCAATATTTGATTGTTGAGATATAAGTTTTTTTGACAACTAAATGTCGAAAAGCCGGTGGGGTGGTGGTGGTGAAAACTCAACGGAAGAACTAAAAATCCAAAAATCGTGGTAAATAGTCCATTGAGTTTTTTTTTAAAACTTTGTTCAACAAAAATTAATTCTCATGAGATAGAGAGATAAAAAAAAATTTACATGTAGACTATCAAAAAATACATCACTAGCATTTTACAAATTTGAGAGGTTGTGGTAGTATAGCGGAGTTGAGATTTGAGGAGTGGTGGCATAGGTTTTTGGTGTGAAGGTGGTTGGGAGAGGACATTTTTTTTTCTTTTTGCAGTGGACTATAATATATAGAAGAACAAAAGACTTGGGGGCAACCCTGAGCAAAAGACAAGACTGTCCCTATCTATGTCACTGGTGGTATAATTGGTTGTTCTCGTTGGCAGATCTTTAAATTTGGTGTTTTAGCCTTTTAGTCAGTTGACTTTTGAAATTGTGCTCTTGGATGGTTATTGTATGGCTCGATTTAGAGACTGTGGTGGTGCTTGTGTTTTGAGATGATGATTGTGACTTATTGAAGATGATCTTTGTAGTTTTTTGGTGGTAGTGGTGTGCGATGGTGGTTGTGTGAGTGGTAAATGAATTTTAAAAGAGTAATTATGACGAAATGTTCATACCTTTTAATGTTTTTGTCTAAAACGTTTGTACCTTCATTTTTTGGCATTTTCACTATCATATTCACCTTTTATCGCGGAAAAGATCCTTCCATCAATCTAGTATCAATAATTACAATAAATGCATAGGTTTTAAGGGAATTATGGTGGGATTGAGTTTGACACTGAGGGGTCCACGTTGCCATAGGATTTTAAGAGTAGCAATGATACTTGAGATGGTGGATTTTATGCTTCGGAGTTTGTTGGGTCTAAGAAGGTTAAGAAGGACAAGGGGCTTGGTGGGCTTGAATTGCTGGAGGCTAGTGAGCCACCAGAAGGAACTGTGGCTAAAGGTGCTGGGGATAAAATTGAAGATATTTTGGTGACGAAAATTGAAATGAAGGTTCTGGAGATGTATACCGTGGAAGAGATTAATGCGGAGTTTCGAGAATCCTTGCTTTATAGAGTTGGGTTAACGAGTGTGGTTTACTTGCAAATTGTGCGACCAAAATCTTCTTCAGATGATAAAAAGGGAATTTTCATTTAAGATTGAAGGCACAAGTGACGTTAAGAGGTTTGTCCAGCGAAGCTCTTGAGCGGACAACTTTGGAAATGGTTTGTTTCACATGAGGACTGCACCTTCAAAGGAAACTACACCAATTATCAAATATATAGATTATTACCTTGATAGATTCCATTGACTTTGAGGGTGTGACTTATCAAAACTTTAGTGGGACTTTGCCTTTAAGAGAATTGAAATGGCATGTTGATGAAATCAATTTCAAAAAATGCCTTCGCAATCTTTAACTCGGGCATCCAAATGCACAATTTTCCCGATTAGATTTTTAACGTGGATGACCTCGAACTCTCAATTTTCAGACGTTCATATGCTCTTATGCCATTACTTTAAGAATGGCTGCTTATTTACAGACCTATCATTTCTTTTCACTAAACTTGTTTGTATCCTCAAGCGCAGCCTCTCGCAAACGCTCACTCACTTTCCAATGCTAGCCGGTCGACTTACCACTGACGAAAAGGGATACATTTACATTACCTGAAATGACGCATAATATGTCCTTTAGAGATAACCGTCCAATCAAAAGCAAAAGAATGTTATCACTACGTCTAAGACATCAATGGGGTTAAGAATATTAGGCGGAGAGGAGATGAAGGGGCAGAGAAAAATTGGCTAAAACTATATGGCCCTTAGTTTTTTAAAAGAAAATTTGCCCTTTGTATTGAGTTAATGTAGCAACTAACGATATGTGGATAGAAAGACATTTTTCACAATAAAATGTAATAATATTTTGCATAAAAATATTAAAACATGAAGACATTTTGTGTTAATTAACCAACTTTAAAATGTGGTCTTATTGCAAGAGTTAAAATTTTACAAGAGGGTGCCTTAATCTATTTCCTTTAAAATAGGTCGTATTTGCAATGTTTTAGAAAATGATCACTTTTCAAAATGCTCAATAAACATGGCTACATTTCCACTTTCTCCTAAATAAAAAGACATATCCCATTTAAAAACCCTCCATACAAATTTGGAAAGAACCCTAATTTCTTTCAAAAATCTTCAAAACGCAATTCCTTGGATCCTAAAAACCCTCCTTAAACCCTTTCTCCCAACTTCACACTCGTGCAGAGGAGGAACAATGGATTTCGAGAAGCGGAAGGCAGTGACCCTTGCCGCTATGACCTCGCCGGAACCCGACAAGTCCCCTAAAGGCAACATTGACACCCCCATAATTCCTCTCTTAACCACCATTAATTCTCACCCCTCTTACTTCACCACCAGCTCTTGCTCCGGCCGCATCTCTGTTCTAGCCCAGCCGATCGACACAGCCGCCGCCGCCGCCACGACCGTCAAGAAAAAGGCCAAGGGAGGCACCTGGGTCTTCGTATCCCACGACCCAGTTCCTCCTTTCTCCATCCTCCCCCTTCTCTTCTCATCCTCTTCCAATGAGTCACCACCCCGAGTCGCCACCGAGTCAGACAACATTCTGTTGCAGAGCCTTGTGTTCAGGTTTGAGCCTTTGATCATTGCTGTTGAGTGCAAGGACATAGAGGCGGCTCAGTCTTTGATTTCTTTGGCAATTTCTTGTGGGTTCAGAGAGAGTGGAATTACAAGTGCGAGTAAAAGAGTCATCATTGCAATACGGTGCTCAATACGATTGGAGGTTCCACTGGGGGACACGCTGAAGCTTATGGTGTCCCCAGAATATGTGGAGTACCTTGTTGGGGTTGCTAATGAGAAAATGGTGGCTAACAGGAAAAGAACTGATCTTTTCCTGAATTCACTGTTAAAGAACGGATTTTCGAGAGATGGTATTTACATGAATGGTAAAATTGATAGTGATGGTGGTGATATGTGTCGAGGGAATCAAAAGGCTGCCTCTCAAGGAAATCCTTTCGGCGATAGTTGTGTGGAGGAAGATTTGGATTCTGAAAAGAAAGATTTTGATGACATCCATTGTGGTATTGCATATTTTCTTCTAGTTTTTAAATCAATTCCTGAGGATGGACGATGTATTCTATATGGATATAACATGATTTGTCACCAGTAAATAATCAACATATTCTTTTTTAACGCTACTCAGGCTAGACTGAATTGTGTAGTAGTTACTTTAAAGTGCTAATTGTTGACTACATGGCATTGTACTCTTGGATGGAATACGTGGGATTTAACATGATTCACATGATATCATGTAATCAGAAACATGTATAATCATGTAAAAATTTACACTTAAATGAATTGATGCAAGTGCAAGAAGAGATTGCTCGCACTGTTATGTACTAATATATGTTTGATTGCAGGCATATTTTCCCTTAAATGTGACTGGAAGTTTGAATCTTAAATCATTGACAGGATCACAGAAAGTCCTTGGCATCAATCTGTCCGTTATAGAGATAATTGGTGAACCCGTGGAGAGGCTTTTCCTGTGGGGTCACTCTGGCTGCATGGTGGACCAACAGAAGATTCTCATTTTTGCTGGTTTTGGAGGCATTGGAAGACATGCACGTAGAAATGATTTATTGCTTCTTGATCCAGAATGTGGAATGATAGAAGCAATTCATGTTCAGGGAGCTCCATGTCCACGCTTGGGTCACACATCTTCAGTAGTAGGAGGGTTCATGTATGTGATTGGAGGGAGGGCTGATCCGTTGAATATTCTGAATGACGTGTGGGTCTTCAATATGGCGAAGAAAGAATGGAATCTGTTACAATGTTCTGGCTGTCATTTACCTCCTAGGTGATGTTATAGCATACATACATTTCTATAGATATTCACTTTATTTGGTGTGTTCACCTCATCATTCATTCCAGTTTCTATTCTTCTCCTGGACCGCAGACTAAACTTTTAGAGCTTCATTTTCTAACTCTATATTGACAAGTGTTCAATTTCTCATCGGAACAACAAAAGCTTCCTTGCTCCACTAAGGATGTCCAAATGTCGTTTCAATATCATTTCACTAATCATCACAACTTTTTAGCGAAAAAGAAGAAAAAAGAGCTCAACATAGCATGTGATTGGAAACTAAGTATTGAGAGTCAAACTCAACACAATTCTCTAATATAAATCATAATTCTTTCTTTGATCACCATGTTTTCTTATATCTATGATAATATCAGTTTAATCATACACCCAGCTTTCTACTTTTTGTGTATATAATTTATATTGATGTTTTACAGGCACCGACATGCAGCAGCTGTTGTAGGTACAAGGATATATGTACATGGGGGAATTTGTAAAGATGAAATAATATCATCACTGTATGTACTTGATACATATAAGGCTGAGTGGACTGAGATAGAAATTCAGGGGAACTTGCCCAGTCCTCGTCATTCACACTCCATGGACTCACATGGGTCTAACTTATACACATTTGGTGGATTCAATGGGGAGAAAGCACTTGGGGATCTTTATAGTTTTGATGTTCAGACGTGCCTATGGAGTAAGCAAAAGACAAATGGAAAAGCACCTAAAGCTAGGTTTTCGCACTCGATGTTTATATATAAGAACTATCTTGGCATTTTTGGGGGATGTCCTGTAAGTCAGAATAATGAATTATCCTTACTTGATCTTCAGTCTTATACGTGGAAGCATATAATGGTGAATTCCATTGATGGTCTCTTTGTTCGTAGTACAGATTTATTTTCCATTTAAATGTGAATACCTAAAAGAGGAAATTGGAAAATATGTCCATTTTTAAAGATACATTTGGAAAATGATCAACGGAGGCGGACCCAAGTGGGGTCTCATAGGGTCACTTGACCCTCCAGCTTTTTCAAAATTTTTTTTTGGCTTAGTTTTCGGCTCACTACAAAATATCAAAGGAAGTTGAAATATTACATTTTCAATATCATTTTGAAGAACTCACGGCCTAATATTTCACGTCGTTAATGGTGTGCGAAATGGCCAATCGTAGCAAATATTACGACGCGTTAAAGTTGGTCATGCCAAACTAATATTTCGAGAATTTCGATAACAAGCTAACTTTAAAAAAATTTTGACGATTATACGCTAACCGTATCCATAAATCTTCTATATTCTCGCGAAAATCATTTCGAGAACTATATTATAAACATATCGAATGATCTAAATGAATATCGAAAATAGTTAAACATACATTTAACGTGTATGCTAAAAAAAGACGTATAACTCGTCTTTTTTGAAAAAAATTAATTATTTTATTAATGTTTATTATTTTTGCGCGACAAATTTCTCAATATAATTTATATCATTTTATTAGAATATTTTATGTGGTATGACGTCGAATTTTTTTTTTTGAATGTAAAAATTCTTAATAAAATTTTTATTACTTCATAGAGGTTATAAATTTTCATACTACTTTTCATTTTGATTATTTTTATATCTGGAAAAAAATTTATATATAAAAAAATTCAATCGTTTTTAGGACTTTTTTTATTATTGTTATCTTTTCCTCTCAATCAATTAATTTTTTTTTTCAAATGACGTCAAAAATTTTATTAGGAAACTTATTATATTATTTAAAAAAATTAATTGATTGAGAGGAAAAAATAACAATAATAATAAAAAAATCCTAAAAATGATCATTTTTTTTATATATAAAAATTTTTCAGATGAAAAATAATCAAGATGAAAAAGTAGTATAACAGTTTATAACCATATAAAGTAATAAAAAATATATTCGTCACTTTTTTTAAAAATTTGATTGTGACCCCCTAATATAAAATGTATGCGTCAGCGTCGGCTCTTGATGATCAATACTTGTAAGTTTTGGGACAACCAACACATTTTGAATAAACAGACAAAAATATTCTTAAAAATTAGCCAATTACTAGCTACATCTAAAATCCTTCTACTTTCCCAAAAATTATTCAAATCATCGACATCTCCACCATTGTTCTAGCTCATCCCACCCACTTTTTCTTTTACACCTTCACCTTCACGTCCACCACCACACTCAATATTTGATTGTTGAGGTATAAGTTTTTTTGACAACTAAATGTCGAAAAGCCGGTGGGGTGGTGGTGGTGAAAACTCAACGGAAGAACTAAAAATCCAAAAATCGTGGTAAATAGTCCATTGAGTTTTTTTTTAAAACTTTGTTCAACAAAAATTAATTCTCATGAGATAGAGAGATAAAAAAAAATTTACATGTAGACTATCAAAAAATACATCACTAGCATTTTACAAATTTGAGAGGTTGTGGTAGTATAGCGGAGTTGAGATTTGAGGAGTGGTGGCATAGGTTTTTGGTGTGAAGGTGGTTGGGGGAGGACATTTTTTTTTTCCTTTTTGCAGTGGACTATAATACATAGAAGAACAAAAGACTTGGGGGCAACCCTGAGCAAAAGACAAGATTGTCCCTATCTATGTCACTGGTGGTATAATTGGTTGTTCTCGTTGGCAGATCTTTAAATTTGGTGTTTTAGCCTTTTAGTCAGTTGACTTTTGAAATTGTGCTCTTGGATGGTTATTGTATGGCTCGATTTAGAGACTGTGGTGGTGCTTGTGTTTTGAGATGATGATGGTGACTTATTGAAGATGATCTTTGTAGTTTTTTGGTGGTAGTGGTGTGCGATGGTGGTTGTGTGAGTGGTAAATGAATTTTAAAAGAGTAATTATGACGAAATGTTCATACCTTTTAATGTTTTTGTCTAAAACGTTTGTACCTTCATTTTTTGGCATTTTCACTATCATATTCACCTTTTATCGCGGAAAAGATCCTTCCATCAATCTAGTATCAATAATTACAATAAATGCATAGGTTTTAAGGGAATTATGGTGGGATTGAGTTTGACACTGAGGGGTCCACGTTGCCATAGGATTTTAAGAGTAGCAATGATACTTGAGATGGTGGATTTTATGCTTCGGAGTTTGTTGGGTCTAAGAAGGTTAAGAAGGACAAGGGGCTTGGTGGGCTTGAATTGCTGGAGGCTAGTGAGCCACCAGAAGGAACTGTGGCTAAAGGTGCTGGGGATAAAATTGAAGATATTTTGGTGACGAAAATTGAAATGAAGGTTCTGGAGATGTATACCGTGGAAGAGATTAATGCGGAGTTTCGAGAATCCTTGCTTTATAGAGTTGGGTTAACGAGTGTGGTTTACTTGCAAATTGTGCGACCAAAATCTTCTTCAGATGATAAAAAGGGAATTTTCATTTAAGATTGAAGGCACAAGTGACGTTAAGAGGTTTGTCCAGCGAAGCTCTTGAGCGGACAACTTTGGAAATGGTTTGTTTCACATGAGGACTGCACCTTCAAAGGAAACTACACCAATTATCAAATATATAGATTATTACCTTGATAGATTCCATTGACTTTGAGGGTGTGACTTATCAAAACTTTAGTGGGACTTTGCCTTTAAGAGAATTGAAATGGCATGTTGATGAAATCAATTTCAAAAAATGCCTTCGCAATCTTTAACTCGGGCATCCAAATGCACAATTTTCCCGATTAGATTTTTAACGTGGATGACCTCGAACTCTCAATTTTCAGACGTTCATATGCTCTTATGCCATTACTTTAAGAATGGCTGCTTATTTACAGACCTATCATTTCTTTTCACTAAACTTGTTTGTATCCTCAAGCGCAGCCTCTCGCAAACGCTCACTCACTTTCCAATGCTAGCCGGTCGACTTACCACTGACGAAAAGGGATACATTTACATTACCTGAAATGACGCATAATATGTCCTTTAGAGATAACCGTCCAATCAAAAGCAAAAGAATGTTATCACTACGTCTAAGACATCAATGGGGTTAAGAATATTAGGCGGAGAGGAGATGAAGGGGCAGAGAAAAATTGGCTAAAACTATATGGCCCTTAGTTTTTTAAAAGAAAATTTGCCCTTTGTATTGAGTTAATGTAGCAACTAACGATATGTGGATAGAAAGACATTTTTCACAATAAAATGTAATAATATTTTGCATAAAAATATTAAAACATGAAGACATTTTGTGTTAATTAACCAACTTTAAAATGTGGTCTTATTGCAAGAGTTAAAATTTTACAAGAGGGTGCCTTAATCTATTTCCTTTAAAATAGGTCGTATTTGCAATGTTTTAGAAAATGATCACTTTTCAAAATGCTCAATAAACATGGCTACATTTCCACTTTCTCCTAAATAAAAAGACATATCCCATTTAAAAACCCTCCATACAAATTTGGAAAGAACCCTAATTTCTTTCAAAAATCTTCAAAACGCAATTCCTTGGATCCTAAAAACCCTCCTTAAACCCTTTCTCCCAACTTCACACTCGTGCAGAGGAGGAACAATGGATTTCGAGAAGCGGAAGGCAGTGACCCTTGCCGCTATGACCTCGCCGGAACCCGACAAGTCCCCTAAAGGCAACATTGACACCCCCATAATTCCTCTCTTAACCACCATTAATTCTCACCCCTCTTACTTCACCACCAGCTCTTGCTCCGGCCGCATCTCTGTTCTAGCCCAGCCGATCGACACAGCCGCCGCCGCCGCCACGACCGTCAAGAAAAAGGCCAAGGGAGGCACCTGGGTCTTCGTATCCCACGACCCAGTTCCTCCTTTCTCCATCCTCCCCCTTCTCTTCTCATCCTCTTCCAATGAGTCACCACCCCGAGTCGCCACCGAGTCAGACAACATTCTGTTGCAGAGCCTTGTGTTCAGGTTTGAGCCTTTGATCATTGCTGTTGAGTGCAAGGACATAGAGGCGGCTCAGTCTTTGATTTCTTTGGCAATTTCTTGTGGGTTCAGAGAGAGTGGAATTACAAGTGCGAGTAAAAGAGTCATCATTGCAATACGGTGCTCAATACGATTGGAGGTTCCACTGGGGGACACGCTGAAGCTTATGGTGTCCCCAGAATATGTGGAGTACCTTGTTGGGGTTGCTAATGAGAAAATGGTGGCTAACAGGAAAAGAACTGATCTTTTCCTGAATTCACTGTTAAAGAACGGATTTTCGAGAGATGGGATTTACATGAATGGTAAAATTGATAGTGATGGTGGTGATATGTGTCGAGGGAATCAAAAGGTTGGCTCTCAAGGAAATCCTTTAGGCGATAATTGTGTGGAGGAAGATTTGGATTCTGAAAAGAAAGATTTTGATGACATCCATTGTGGTATTGCATATTTTCTTCTAGTTTTTCAATCAATTCCTGAGGATGGACGATGTATTCTATATGGATATAACATGATTTGTCACAAGTAAATAATCAACATATTCTTTTTTAACGCTCTCAGGCTAGACTGAATTGTGTAGTAGGTACTTTAAAGTGCTAATCGTTGACTACATGGCATTGTACTCTTGTATGGAATACGTGGGATTTAACATGATTCACATGGTATCATGTAATCAGAAACATGTATAATCTGTAAAAATTTACACTTAAATGAATTGATGCAAGTGCAAGAAGATATTGCTCGTACTGTTATGTACTAATATATGTTTGATTGCAGGCATATTTTCCCTTAAATGTGACTGGAAGTTTGAATCTTAAATCATTGACAGGATCACAGAAAGTCCTTGGCATCAATCTGTCCGTTATAGAGATAATTGGTGAACCCGTGGAGAGGCTTTTCCTGTGGGGTCACTCTGGCTGCATGGTGGACCAACAGAAGATTCTCATTTTTGCTGGTTTTGGAGGCATTGGAAGACATGCACGTAGAAATGATTTATTGCTTCTTGATCCAGAATGTGGAATGATAGAAGCAATTCATGTTCAGGGAGCTCCATGTCCACGCTTGGGTCACACATCTTCAGTAGTAGGAGGGTTCATGTATGTGATTGGAGGGAGGGCTGATCCGTTGAATATTCTGAATGACGTGTGGGTCTTCAATATGGCGAAGAAAGAATGGAATCTGTTACAATGTTCTGGCTGTCATTTACCTCCTAGGTGATGTTATAGCATACATACATTTCTATAGATATTCACTTTATTTGGTGTGTTCACCTCATCATTCATTCCAGTTTCTATTCTTCTCCTGGACCGCAGACTAAACTTTTAGAGCTTCATTTTCTAACTCTATATTGACAACAAGTTTCTGCATTTCCATTCATGCTCAAAATATAAAAAGGTTCAGGTACTGGACTTTCTATTACGACCTTCAGACAGAGAGCAATTTTACTCTAATATAAATCATAATTCTTTCTTTGATCACCATGTTTTCTTATATCTATGATAATATCAGTTTAATCATACACCCAGCTTTCTACTTTTTGTGTATATAATTTATATTGATGTTTTACAGGCACCGACATGCAGCAGCTGTTGTAGGTACAAGGATATATGTACATGGGGGAATTTGTAAAGATGAAATAATATCATCACTGTATGTACTTGATACATATAAGGCTGAGTGGACTGAGATAGAAATTCAGGGGAACTTGCCCAGTCCTCGTCATTCACACTCCATGGACTCACATGGGTCTAACTTATACACATTTGGTGGATTCAATGGGGAGAAAGCACTTGGGGATCTTTATAGTTTTGATGTTCAGACGTGCCTATGGAGTAAGCAAAAGACAAATGGAAAAGCACCTAAAGCTAGGTTTTCGCACTCGATGTTTATATATAAGAACTATCTTGGCATTTTTGGGGGATGTCCTGTAAGTCAGAATAATGAATTATCCTTACTTGATCTTCAGTCTTATACGTGGAAGCATATAATGGTGAATTCCATTGATGGTCTCTTTGTTCGTAGTACAGTAAATGTTGTCGGTGATAGTCTGATACTCATTGGTGGTGGGGCATCTTGTTTTGCATTTGGGACAAAGTTCAGTGAACCCATGAAGGTAAACTTGTCGTTATTGACATCCTTGGATGATAATTTCACTCCCACAAAAATTGGAGAGGAGTCCAGAGATAGTCCAGAGGAAGAAACAATAGAGGGAAAAAATGCCAACGTCCAATATTTGCATAGTACAGCTAAACCAAAAGTAAATGGACATATCAACCAAAATGCTCATTTTGAAGAGCCATCAGTAAAGGTTGAACGGCAGATGGTTGCCGTTCCTTGCATTCTCCAGCTAGGGAAACAACATGCGAAATTGGTAAAGGACATATTAAAAAGATTTGGATGGTTAGATATTGAAAGAAAGGTTTATTCTCGGGAGGATGGCATGTTTATCTGTTTTCCTGTAACAGAAAAGTTTTGCACTATGTTCGAAGATAAACAAAAGGATCTGGGGGATTCATGTAAAGTGGTAACTGATCTTCATTCACCAAGACCATCTTGTTTGGATATTTTATCACAAGATATCTCCATTTCAGAATCTTTTAAGCTTCTAATAGCATGTGGTGCTACTAAACTTGTGGATGAAGTTGTCAAAAACAAGAAAACTCCAAATACTCCTCACAAAATGATGAAGGAAGAGGTAGCCTCATTGTTAAATAGCCAGGGTCTGCCACCAGAACTTCTAGAACAACTTCCATCAAGGTTTTGTATTTTAATCTTGTATTTTTAACTTTGGCCTCATTGGTATAACTATTATACAATGCTGGATCCTTTTTTTATCTTTTCAAAGTAGAATTGGAGGAACTTTGTACAGCACTATATTTATCGTAGTTTAACAGCTTTCATTTGTCTCAGATGGGAGCGGCTGGGAGATATTGTTGTTCTTCCTGTAACGTCCTTTAAGGATCCGTTGTGGGACTCAGTTGGTAAGGAGCTTTGGCCTCTTGTGGCAAAATCACTTGGGGCTCTTCGCCTCGCCCGACAAGTAAGCAGTAGTTGTAAAACTTATCTAGTTTTATGCTGATGCCAGTTAATGGTTTCTCTTGCTATTTATCCATGCAATCGACAATTTTCTCGAGTTCTTGTCGCATAGTTTCTATCCGAGACATTAGAGATTTTATTTTGACAACCATTTTATAAATGATTTATAAATTCAGTGAAAATCAAACATTAATTTTAACAACAGATTTATAACTACTATTCATTTATTATCTACGTATTTTGTGGGACTAACCATTATTCCTCTTTATAAGTTGATTAATAAAGTTTCCAAACGGAGGCTTAGTGGACTTTAAAATTTGAGGGTGTCTATTAATTGGGTATACTGATAAATCTAGGCCGAAATTGCACAAACTGGGACAAGGGACAGTAAATTAAAGATTCTTGTTGGAGATGATGGCTGGGTTGACCACCGTGAAAATGGGATCCTCTATTCTTTTGATGCCACGAAGTGCATGTTCTCTTGGGGTAATCTTTCGGAGAAACTACGGATGGGCTCTCTTGACTGTAGAAATGATGTTATCGTAGATCTGTTCTCTGGCATAGGATATTTTACACTGCCTTTCCTTGTGAGGTATGTTTTTCATTTTTATAACTCATGCTGATACTTGAGCCTTTTTCTTTGGCGATAATTTTTGTGTTGATACTGGTGATTATCAGGGCCAATGCCAAATTTGTGTATGCTTGTGAGTGGAATCCAGATGCTGTTGAGGCTCTACATCGTAATCTACAAGCGAATTCTGTGGCTGATCGTTGCACCATACTGGAAGGAGATAATAGAGTTACAGCTCCAAAGGTATGTTAGTTTGTCTTTACGAAGTTACCAATTTGCTGTCTTGACCTTATTATATCCATAATTTATTAAGAGGGTGTTTGAACCACATTATTTGGGTAATAATGCATTCTTGAATAGTGTATTGATGGGAAATGTGTGGTTAAAAAATAAAGAAAAGTTTTTGGTATGCGTGTAATATTATTTTATTGAAAAATGTGTGGTTGAAATGATATCAAATCACTATTTAAGAATGTAATTTTTTGGAATAATGTGGCTCAAACAGGGCCTAAATATCACATTAAGTGAGAATAATTTTTTGGACGATATTAACCCTACTATAATTCAATTATTTCAATCATACCTTACTTTTCGTTTTTAAATAAGTAATAAATATTGCAAAATCCTTGTCATGTGTGAATTTCATGTTATTAATTCTCAATTAATTTATATTCTAGACTCTGTGAATCTTGACTTCTACATGAATTTAGAGTTTTTAATTTATTATAGATGAGTTTATTTATATTCATGTATCAACGAATTTCAATAGGTGTTTAAATTCATGTATTAACAATTAATTCTTATATACTAAATGTAGTATAAAAATGTTGTTCATTTGTAGTATTTCATCATAAAAAAAAACTTTGAATCATAGAGGTTGATTTTCAAGAGTGTATTTTTTTCCCTCTTAAATTTTATTTTTTTAGATTGTTTGAGATTCTTGATACCCTCTCAACAAATTGGTGTTAAAATATTACTTTTACAGAGCTTATAAAGTATTTCAGAATAATGTGCAATGCACATTCAACTATGATTGTATTTTCATTTCAACAGGGAGCTGCCGATCGAGTCTGCCTTGGTCTCTTGCCAACAAGTGAAGGAAGTTGGGTTACTGCAGTCAGGGCACTAAGGTGTGTTATTGTCGTTCATATGTCTTAGAAGCATGTTAGGCTAAATCATTTTTTCTTACTTTAAAGTACAAAAAGGTCTCATTTTGAAAGTAACTCTTAGTGCTTGCTTGGCTAAACTTTGAAAAATCTTTGCCAAACATGCTCTAGATTGAATTAAGCTGTTTGTGCTCTCATTTTGGCAAGTTTTTGAATCTTTCCTGCCAAAAATTGCGCAGACAGGAGGGTGGAATGTTACACATACATGGTAATGTTAAGGACTCAGAGGAAGGTTCATGGAAGAACCATGTTTTGCAATCCATTACCGACATTGCTAGATCAGAAGGTACAACTTCATTACCTATTTACTTAAACTCTCTCGTTCTACTAACGTCCATGCAAAACAATCTTGAAAAATGAAACCGAGTGGAATATATGGTTACTTGCTGCAGGTTATCACTGGGAGGTCTTAATAGAACACGTTGAAAGAGTGAAATGGTATGCTCCCCACATACGCCATCTTGTTGTAGATGTGAGATGCCAACAAACTCAGGGTTAAGATTTGGAATGGAACGGGTCAGGTATGCATTACAGGGCAATTCTGGAGTGGAGAGTACATGCATGAAAATTTTCACTTTTTTCTTCTTTGATATCGTTCTACCTCATGGATGCCATGCAGGCTTGAATTATATGAGAAAAGCATGGTTCTTCCCTCAGACAAGCCTTGAAATTCCCATACAGCATGTGAAATCCTGCTGCCACTTGCACTGTTATGGCAAATTAGTGGGTTTGAAACAGATGGCCCCATTAAAGACGACTAGGCAGTATCACAAATTTTAGTTGAAATTAGTGAATTAGTGCTTAAAAGTTTTCTTGTGGATAGTTAAGCGATGATTATCTTGGTTACTATAATGAATATTTGTCTAGTGATTTATTGGGTGGATATTTTCTAATTTGGTCTGGGAGCTGTTGCATCACCTTGCTGAATAAAATACCTGGTGACTGGACCACGTCGGAGTGTAAGGTCGGGTTGTGCTGCAGTTCAAGTCGAACGCTTGCCGGGCCTGATTCTGACCGCTCCCAGCCGACATGGGTGGGCCTGGCACTACCCATGTTTGCGATCGGAGGTGGCTACATAATTTTTCGACATTCATGCAGTGAACTAGTTTGAGGTTTGACGTTTGAAAGGCTACGGCTGGTGCTGGCATCAAAGAAATAATTTTCTTTTGCAGTTAATGGCTAATTTAATTCGACAATGCCTGAGCAATTCAGAAAATCACTTATCCCAAATTGTGTGGATCCCCAGGCATATTGATGGGTTTCACCTAAAAATTAATATTATATGGTATTTTTAACAATTTGGGAATTAAATATAAAGAAATGGTCAGGGATTGAATGAAGTTGACGTGTGATACTGATATGGCTCCCAACAAAACTGTCGGTGGTCACTGAGAATCCATTTATTTGAAGTTTGAATCAAAGGTTCCTTATCCTGTCCTTGACAACTTTAGTGACATGTTTGTTTCGATTCAAATTATAATTGATAAAATTTTGATGAATACAAACTACAGTTTTAGGTGGCAGAGAGCCTGACATAGAGGCGCCAAATCCCAGTTGCTGTGAGCTTTTATAGAAAACCAACATGTTAACCCCTCCATCCTACCTTCTCTATGTTATTGACAGTTCATCTTTGTTTCCAGTGGCATGTTTAAATCTTCATTCCATTACTTAAACATATAATAAATTATTTGTTTTTTTTTATCGGTAAATGTGAAATATATTGATCAAAACTTAATTACAAATACACCGGGCATTCCCAGGCCATCATATGAAGAGATGGAGTTGAACAAGGGGCTGGCAAGTTTTTTCTTTTTCCTGGGTCAATAGTGCCAGCCACGCAAGAAATAATGTAGAATTGGCATTGAATTGTATGATTAAGTGGACTACATTTATCAGAGAGATTTTCAATTGATCTTCTCTAAAGCATTTTTACACAACTTAACAAGAACACATTAAACGTTGATAATTGTGTCTGCAGAATTCATCCCAGCAAATCTTAGAACAAAAATTTTCACCACTGCACAAATCCACAATTCACGTTTATAGAGCTTTCTTTTACCTTGGTCGAGACATATTCAACAAGATGACAAAGTGAAGGGGAAGAGGGTAAATTCGGTGAGGTCAATGCTTACTAAACTAACAAGATGTCCTCTCCATTTTAAGGTAGTTTATACCTTGGGAGCCTATGGATGCAAGCCATGTCCTTGACAACTTTAGTGACATGTTTGTTTCGATTCAAATTATAATTGATAAAATTTTGATGAATACAAACTACAGTTTTAGGTGGCAGAGAGCCTGACATAGAGGCGCCAAATCCCAGTTGCTGTGAGCTTTTATAGAAAACCAACATGTTAACCCCTCCATCCTACCTTCTCTATGTTATTGACAGTTCATCTTTGTTTCCAGTGGCATGTTTAAATCTTCATCCCTTGAATTATAATCAGTGCAACATCTTTTTATATTATTTTCAATTTAATCTCTCTCCTACAAAGTTAGTAACCCTTTCCAGCAATATTTACTAGGTGAGTTTTTTCAAATAGTCCTGGCAATAGACAATATATTCTTTTTCGACATAGAATGTAATGCCTCTTATCGTTGGATAGCCAGTACATAAAATTACTGCTATGTTTAATGTTCAATAAAGAAGATGGTCGTAAATATATGAAGCCAAGTACAAATAGATAATCTAAAAGGTAATTTACAAGTAACAATGACATTCAAAATAGGTGGATACAAGGAGAACAAAACGTTGTATACGTGTGTTTTGATTCGTCGAACAATACTATCAACATGTGGAATAAGGTCTTCAAAAATCATCTTATTCCTTGCCATCCAAACATGGCCTATGGATGCAAGCCATTCCTGAAAAATGAAGCAAATGAAAATAGTTATTGTAAAAGTGCAATTGTGTCACCATTTAGTTCTTCACGACAATGAACACAATAATTCATAAATTGAAGCGGAGATTATATTCCCTTGAATTATAATCAGTGCAACATCTTTTTATATTATTTTCAATTTAATCTCTCTCCTACAAAGTTAGTAACCCTTTCCAGCAATATTTACTAGGTGAGTTTTTTCAAATAGTCCTGGCAATAGACAATATATTCTTTTTCGACATAGAATGTAATGCCTCTTATCGTTGGATAGCCAGTACATAAAATTACTGCTATGTTTAATGTTCAATAAAGAAGATGGTCGTAAATATATGAAGCCAAGTACAAATAGATAATCTAAAAGGTAATTTACAAGTAACAATGACATTCAAAATAGGAGTTGAAATATAGCATTTCATAAATTAGGAGAATTTACAAACATAGTTTACGTGCCTTCGCTCAAAATAATTCGACCTCATACAAAAGATTATGTAATAACTACTACTTCTACTAATAGCTACTAATAAGGTCGACCCCTTCCCTTCTCAATTCACTTCAATGATTCCTTGCACACCTTCACGTTCACTGCAATATGTAAATCTTCTTCTGCAGAGATACAAACTTGAGATTGAAACATCTGTGATATTTGTTCAAATGTTTCGTTCGTCGCAAAGTTAACCGAGGAAGCACTAGCTCTAGATGATTGGCCGCTTGAATCTTCTTTGACAACCCACAATTTCCAAAATCCAAGGCGTATTGACTCCAGTAGCTTCAATAGTGCATTTGTACAAATTCTATACATATGTTTGTCTGTTTATGCATCCAGAAATGTATGAAATTATACAAGAGAAACACAAATACAAATACAAATACAAAAGTAGATAGGAATTTAACAAAATTATGCATACATGAGAAACACAAATACAAAAAATAACCAAATAGACTGCCTCATTACTAAACTGTTTTGATGCACAATTTTAGTCGCATATAGAAAAATTATACCTTGTTGCTAAAGCCCTAAAAACCTATTTTATTTGGGTACTTCACAAGACTTAAAACCCCAAATTTTCACCTATTTTTCGGAAAATAAATCAAATAAAAAAAAATTAACCAACATCCATAAACAAACATGTTTGGATGCATAGATACATAACTACAAGTGTATAGAGAGATAATTACATTAACATCGCCAAAAAAAAAAAAAAAAAAAGGAGAAGAAGAAGAAGAAGAAGCTTACATCATAAAAGAAAGAGGATTATCAGAATTTGGTAACAGTATCAAGAAAATTAAATTTTTTTTTTAAATCAAGAAAGTTACAAATGAAAAATGAAATAAATCAAACGCAGCCCACGGAGCAGTAGTCTAATTGGTTGCTCTCTCTCTTTCTCTAGCTTGGTTTTGGTGAGCCCACAAGAGCAAGAACAGAGGCAACCAAAATATTGTTCGAAGTTCGAATCGATCGCTCGTTCACAATAATGAAGCAAAAATCCAAACTCGTGTGCAAAGAAATTTGACCGCTAGCCATTTAAATGTGGTCTTCAACATCTAATATATCAAAGATAAAAATAACAGAGATCCAGTAAAATCTTCAATTCAATGGAAAATAAAGAAAAAATCACCGGTATATGCATTTATACACTTACTAGGCGGGACTAAGATGATGTCGATGGAGATTTGTGGACTTCGTAAAGATGAGCACCGAGTGCGTTTGAGCTCGCTTGCGGCCGGAGAACTTCAAGCATGTGCCAATCGGAGGTTGCTTTCTCCCTTCTTGGATTGGAAATGGATGGAGATGAAAGTTAAAAAAAATTGGGGAAAATGAGAGGAAATTTTCTCCCTTTCGTTGAAATTTCAATTGAGCCGGCCGGAGGAAATTTTCACCCTTTCGTTTCTGTAGTTTGGTGAAGTGGGTGGAGAGAGAGAGAGAGAGAGAGAGAGAGCGCTTTGTTTTATGAATTAATCAATTTCCCTCCATTTTGCATTTGGTGGCTTTATTCACTTTTTAATGAATTAAATAATTTACAGTGACCATTTTTTAAATCCCTGTATCCAGTCTGTCGATAACCCTGTCTGCCTAGCATAATTGATACGTTTATTACAAACAAACATAATCATACATGAACAGTATGCAAATATATAAAATATAAATGGGCGAGTATAAAAATCAATAAGAAGAAATTTAAATGAAGAATGCTCATAACACTGCAAAGATTTATGTCTGTTCCCAAAAGTTTGAGTTCTAAGTAACGGCTTTTGTGTGGCTACTATCAAAGAATATAGCAAAAAGTATAAAGGAAATTGCTTTTATACATTGAATCATCTGAAAATGCATAAGTACACATTATTTATAATGGTGGAGGTTGCATCGCAGATGGTGGCACATTTCACACCCATGGGATAGACTCTTGCTGTGCTGGGATGGAGTTAGAATAAAAGAGTTGCGGGGACATTTTTCACAAAATTTTAATTGTGAAGGCAAAAATTGAAAACTACAAGCATTTTTTTTTTTTGGTAAGATATTGAAAAAATCTTGGGCAAAATTTAAAATTTAATGTGAGGTCAGCTGATCTCACCGTCCCCACAATGAATCCATCCTTGGCTATGCATCCATGCTCTCTTGCAGCATGGTCATTAATGTCGCAACATGAGCATGTAGGATATTGTATTGTTCTCTGGGCACAAAATCATGTGTTGATGGTACCTCCATTATTGCAGGCGATGGCAGAGCTAGGGGATTATATTATATGATCGTCCTCTTCTGCCTTGCTTGCTACCCATAGACAACGCTGTAGATATAAAGGTGGTTTGTCAAATTATTTTTGGGTGATGGTGCACGATGGAGCAAAGTTTTCCGGGTGGCAGTAGGGTATTTTGCTATTCTATGATGAAGAGAGTGTTTTGGGTGCTGTGAAGTTATTCAGTGAATAATTTGGAGGTAACTAGACCTATATATAGGCTTTAAGTGGCGCGCACGATCACATTGCAACGTGCCAACTAGAACCAGCCATCGAGTCACAAGATGCAAGTCGATCAAGCTGTAAATCAACATGCATCCTTGATCGACCTTGACATACGCCCACTTCCCGATTAAATGCATAACATGGGTTATTTGTCAACCAACATCAATTCTAAACATGCTTATGTAAATATATGGATATTATTTGGATTGATTTTTATCCACCATTTCACGGTTTTTCTCTAAATTTCTTCTTTTGCACCAGTGGCTTTTTAACATTGATCTAACTTCAAATGTTGTTGTTGATTATCCTAGGTCACGTACGAGATGCATGATATTTTAACCATGTTTTTTGGATTAAAAAAGTCAATATAAACCAACTTGCTACGGAATTTGAAGTGTGAGAATTCCTTTATCAAGAAACATATAAAAATGAAGACCTAAATGGACATGTACCTATAGGATGGGACCATAAGTGAATTATTTTCTTTTTAGAAGAAAAATATATACAAGGTTGTTTGAAAAAGTTTTTTTTATAGAAAAAATTAGCAAATTTTAATAAAAATCGATACTTATAGGAGGGGGAACCCGCAATTTTTTTATTCAGCGTGGGCTCCGTCCCATGTGTCTAATTGTCAACCAGGGTTGTCAACTCTGCTTGTACACATAACACAACTATTTTTTCATAGGTCGAATATTAAAATATGAATTACATGAAAAGTGTCGGTGTATCGTAATAATATACATACACTCAAGATTATTAAAGAATTCTAAGAAAGCTCAGTTGCTTAATTATTTTGCTCGAATAATTCAAATCAAGTAATAAAATATTAATTCATTGATAAAGAAAGAAACTTTTTTCTTGTCATTACATTATTGTTTGGAGCATTTGATATTTGGACTGGCCCTTTGTATTATTGCGCCTTGTTTATGGATAACAACTTTCCACCTAGAAAGCAATCCAAATTAATAGCATTTTAGTTCTGCTTTGATCATAATTGAATCAAGTCCTTGGATTAAACTGTATATCGATAAATACGATTAGTTGAGAGTGATTATAATCTGACTTAGAATATGTAAAATTACATAAATAGCCTCGGCATGCCCTCCCAAGGAAGTTGCAACGTTCAGGTTTCTAAGCTAGGAATATTTATGGCTATTTCTGCACGAATTTCGATTTTCTTTTCTTTTACTTTATTTTTCAGTCGCAACAAATTTTACTTTATGGTGGTGTCATTATAACCCCACTTTTAAAAGAGAAGCGACGACTAAACTTTACCTTTTCATTTTGCTGGACATTAAGTTGGACCATCAGTAACAGCTTCTTAATTACAGATGTCAAAAATTCAAAACAGTTCTCTCTCTCCCTCCATTATTAAAGAGACCATGCTAAATAAACATAATTGTTGACATGTGGAATGATCGAACACTCACATCATCTCGAGGGTAGGACATTATTTTATTCACGCGAGATCCACACTCCATGTGAGGGTCGATCACCCATTCAGTCACCAAAATTTGGGCACTCTGGCATTTTCCTTATTAAAGTAGCGGCCAAGTGATCCAAGAGAGTGAGCATGGTAGAGGGAGAAAGCATGGGTTACAGAGGTCTCTTTTTCGTAGTGATTTTCTCTCTTTCAGCCTTGTCTGGTTTTTTGGCAGAAAATGAGGAACCAGCAGGGCTTGTAATGAACTACTACAAAGACACTTGCCCACAAGCTGAAGACATCATTAAAGAACAAGTCAAGCTTCTTTATAAACGGCATAAGAACACTGCTTTTTCTTGGCTCAGAAACATCTTCCATGACTGCTTTGTTGAGGTCTAAATTCATTTTATTTGCTCCTTTTTACTGTTTACTTGTTATTGTTCTCGAAAGTAGGGATTAGGGCTTAATTCGTATCGTGTTGTCGCTTATGTGGTGGTGCAGTCATGTGATGCATCTCTATTGCTGGATTCAACAAGGAGGGTTTTGTCTGAGAAGGAAACTGATAGGAGCTTTGGAATGAGAAACTTTAGATACATTGAGACTATAAAGGAGGCCTTAGAGAGGGAATGCCCTGGAGTTGTCTCCTGTTCAGACATTCTTGTCTTGTCTGCAAGAGATGGAATCGTTTCGGTAATCTCGTAATTTCTGTTATACTGTATAGTCCTTTGGAGTTCTGTGTACTAAAAGTAGGATTCTGATAACTGTACTTTGGTACATACAGAAATCTACTCTGAGTAGTTGACTCAAATATTTGTCTTAATTACACTTCCAAACTGTAAATGTTAAAAGAATTTGTTGCAACTTTCAAAAGAAGTTGGTCTGATTTTTAGTGTCTGTTTGTGGTTGTGGGTTCTGATCTGAATTATCATTAGAATTGCAAGGCAAAATAGAAGAATAATTTTTTGGAATTTGACTGTGTTTTTGTAAGCTTGGAGGGCCATACATCCCTCTTAAAACTGGAAGAAGAGATGGTAGAAAAAGCAGAGCAGATATACTTGAGCAACATCTCCCTGACCACAATGAAAGCATGAATGTTGTTCTTGAGCGGTTTGCCAACATTGGAATCAACGCCCCCGGAGTTGTTGCTTTACTAGGTATAAGTTCAACAATTTTTCTACTTGTACAGAGGTAGAAGTGACAAAATTGCACCAGATGCTGATGTGGTAGCATCTGGTTGATTATTATTATTTTTTGCCATTGTTTAACTGGATGCTACCATGCGTATTCTGTAAAAAGGCCAAGAAATTCTGTACATATAGTACTTCTGTAAATTCAAACATGTTATAAAAATTGTGCACGTCTTATAAACATAATTCCATTTGCTCTTACAGGTGCCCACAGCGTGGGTCGAACCCACTGTGTCAAGTTGGTTCACCGTTTGTATCCAGAGGTGGATCCGGCACTCAATCCGGACCATGTCGAGCACATGCTCCATAAGTGCCCCGATGCAATACCGGACCCTAAAGCTGTCCAGTACGTGAGGAATGACCGTGGCACGCCTATGAAACTCGACAACAATTACTATAGAAACATATTGGATAACAAGGGACTGTTGATTGTGGATCATCAACTAGCCACAGACAAAAGGACTAAGCCATTTGTCAAGAAAATGGCCAAGAGCCAGGACTATTTCTTCAAGGAGTTTTCTCGAGCAATCACCATTCTCTCCGAGAACAACCCTCTTACCGGCACACAAGGGGAAATCCGAAAGCAATGCAATCTTGCCAACAAGAACCGCTAAAAGCTTTCGATGAAATCGTGCTAGTAGATGACCCAAATTTACTAGGAACGTGGCTTAGTTTGTTGTTGACGTAATTTGGCTCATCACTTTTTGTCCCTTGTGCTAATGAGGGACAGTAGAGTGAGAGAGACAAAAATAAGATGGTTTTTTCCATCAGTTGGGAGTGTTTTTAGTGCAACTTGAATTTGATTGTGGCCATATTAGTGGCTACAACAAGATGATGTGGGGAATAGATATGGTGAATGTTGGTGTAAGAATTGATGGTGGTGACGGTGTATGATGCAAAATGCATGCTTGTGTTGATAATGTTTGTTGAATTCTCAAGGCATGACTCAATTCACATAATGCTCTCTTTATAATGTGTTAGAATAGGTAGTAATCCAGGTCGTAGGCAAGTATTCCGTCCTTTTCACTTACAATATGGGTCACTCTACTGCAATTAATCAACGATTATTTTTTCTGGGTTATCGATGCATGACGATCATATCACACAAAACATCAAGAATGGCCACGATAGCATTTCGTTTAACACAGACACTTGAGTTAGTTTGGGTTTGCAGAAATGGTAGCAAGGACTAATCGGGCATATTTTATAATGTTATAGGATGAAATTGAAATAAAAAATAGTTTTAAGGACCAACCAAGAGAAAAGCAACACAAGAATGAAAATCTCACGAGGCCATCAGATAAAGAGAAATTGAAGTACAGAAAATTCATTGGTACATAAGAAGTAAAAATTCCCATACACAACCAAATATTTATCCATCTACCTGTCATTTTGTGGGATGTGGGCCAGTGTGTGATTCTGACAGAGAAATAAATGCTAGTTGTTGAGAAGTGAGTATGACTTCCGCATGGATTGCCAAACTACGTGTTCCCGATATCTTAGAGGGATGACGAATTTTTCTTTATTAGAACTGTTTCGGAAAGTTCAGTCTAACTTTCCAAGATGGAAGTGAGTATGCCCAAAAAAAGAGAAAAAAAATAAAAAAGGATGAATAAATAAAAGATCCAAGGAGGGATCGAGGGATTCGTTCTTCCACAAACCTCTTCTCAATATGTCCTACATGGAAAAATATTCGCTTCGACATTAAAAGAGCTTCCTTCGATGTTGCGTTCCGCTTCTCATCATTGTAAAAAACTCATAATTGATTCTCCTGTCCTATAAGATGCAACATTTGTAAAGCCACAATACCCGTATCGATCAGAAAGTATATGAATGGCTCGTATCTTAACTCGAGCATACTTTTACATTATCTGTATCCACCTCAGATATTATTTCCTCGATCATTTCCTCATCATCCATACTGTACTCTTTCATAGCATTTTTCCGGTTCATCTCTCACGATATAGCTGGAATGATTTTAACAGTAAAGTAAAGCAAATTACAAATAAAGGGCACAAAGACTAGACGACAGCAAATATTTGGAACCAGTTATGTCTTATTGTTGACACGCTAAAAGTGTAGCCCAGATCGAATAGCCCAAAGAATGAAACCCAATTAGGCAATTCAGGATAAAGACTCAAATAAGGTTATTAATGAATGCAGTGGAAGCCCATGAACGCGGTAACACCATCGCCCAAACTTGCAAGACGCCCAAGATCTGAGCGAATGAAATGCCTTGCAGTCGGCCAGAGTTATGACCCTGTTCTCGCCCAAACCTTCGAATCGCCCAGGATCTTAGCAAACATAAGATGTTATGGCTATCTAAAAGTGCAGTTATCGAAGCAGTTATTGAATAATCTTATCACGTTCCACGATTCAAGGAGTTCGGTTGAAGACGGTTGAATGACAAAGAAGTAGTGGCAACAATTAGAGACGACAGTTTCACGATAAGTTGGCCACCATGAAAAAAGTGGGCAGTTATAAAGCAATTAAACAGTTTCTAAGCTGTTGATCACGAAGAGATCATCAAGGGAATATAAAAGGAAGAAAAGACATAGAGCAAAGACCCCGAATCAAATACTCTCAAACAGAGAATATATGATTTCAATTTCTTACTTTAGACTTAAACATTTCTTTTCAGTACTCGTGTGCTTACGCCTCTTAGAGGCATTCTGTTTAGTTCCAATTGTAAAGTCATTGCTAATAAAGCGCCCCTTTTTGGGACTTTATCTCAAAAGATTTGTTCCTTACACAATCATCTGATCCCTTTTTAATTGTTAGCGACTACCCGTGTGAAACAATTAGGCACGCCCAGTGAGACCTTGGTGTTTGGTGTTGAAGATACAAAAGGTGAAATAATATGCCTCATAAATTCGATAAGGAAGCAGTAAGTCAGGGAGGAGTCCAATCTGTGATCGAGTGATATGAGGAGCAGCATAGCTCCCCACGAACAGATGGACAGAATCAGAGCAATCATAGTCGTTACGAACCAATGACAAAGTTGAGTCCTCTAACCATGCGTGCATTACTTGAAGAACTCACGCAAGATATCATTGAACAGGTAAATCTACGAAATATCCATAATATGGAAAGACTTACCCAGAATGGGAATGTACATTATGACAACATGGTCAAACAACTGAATAGTTTGAACGAAATAATGAATAAGTTAGTAGGCCAAATTTTTCAGCCAGTTGTGCCTCTTGCAAACCACTTTCAAATTAGGACAATTGTGGAACATAATCTCCCAGTCCTAAGTTTAAATTAAGGGGTAGAATCACCTTTTGATCCCTCTACTTCAAATCAGGGGGGATGGTGTAATACCAAATCAGAATAGTGGCAATGGTACATCTAACTTGGGGGTAACTTAAACGTAAGAGATAATGTCTTAAATAATGGGCAGAATACCTCACGTGTTAATGATGGAATAATTGTTCAGGCTAATGGTAACAATGGCCCAAATCATGGCAACTTTGTTGCCAACCAAGGACCAAACATCAGGCCTCAAACAAATCAACTGGTCAACCAACCTATAGAAATTTCATATGACCCCAACGTCATGTTGAGAAATTAGATTATGAAAATCGTATAGGACCAGATGGCTTTTGGAGTACGTCCTGTCGTTAGGCCGACTTACACAAAGCCATATCCTGATTGGGTAGACCAAGCATATCCATGGCCTAGAGGGTATAAAGTGCCAGAATTCTCACTGTTTACCGGTTTAGGAGAAGTGTCCACTCTAGAACACATAAGGCGATTCACACTGTAAAGTGGTCACGTAACTGATTACCATAAAATGAGGATGTTCCCTAGTTCATTAACAAGAGTAGCATGCTCCTGGTTCATCAATTTGCCAACAAACTCTGTTTAAGTATGGCAACAATTGGAGCAATTGTTCCACGCTCAGTTTTATAAGACTGAGACTGAAGTTAATTTGACCGATTTGGTGAATCTGCGTCAAATGCCAAACGAATGGGCAGAAGGTTTTCTTTAAAGGTTCAAGACAGCAAGAAGTTAATGTTTTATACCTTTGCTCGAAAAGGAGTTTGTCAAAATCGCTCAAAGTTGTCTAAGCTTTGATTTGAAGAAGAAATTCTAAGACAAGGAATTTCCCGATCTTTTTCAATTGAGCGTGAACGTAATTAGGTATGAACGATTAATAAGAGAAAAAGAACAACTGAAAAATTCTAGCAAGGGGACTTATTATAGAGACCCAAATTTTGATGTTCATACTATTAATGATGAGTATTACGATCAAATCGAAATGTGTTTAGTCGAATTCGTTAAAGGAGACACGTATATTTGTCCTATAATGACTAAGCCTAGACCGTCGGGTAAGGACGAGCCTATAAAAGATGAAAACATAAAGGCTAGAATGTTCTCGTTCGATATAACCAAAGCTAACCTTATATTTGATAAATTATATATGGATAAGCAGATAAAGTTGAGCGATAAGCATAAATTGTCAAGCCCTGAACAAGTTAAGGGTAAAAAATATTGTAAGTGGCATAATGCATGGTCACATTTGACTAACAACTGTTTGATTTTTCGCCATGTGTTACAGGTTGTCATTGAATCTGGACGAATTACGTTCGAGGATAAGAGGAAGATGGCAGTGGATAAAAATCCTTTTCCACAGCTACTTGGAGTGAACATGGTGACGTTTGGTTTCAAAAACAAGTTGCCAAAATTCAAGTTGGTTATAGATGATGGAGAAGAAGACCCTGGACCACATCCCAGTGTCTTTGAACGTATCAACGGGAAGGAGCCCAAAAAGGACGAAGACGTCCTATGTGCAAGATGCAAAAAAGAAGTGAGTGCAAATGCAGAGAAACCAGGGATATGACAGTATCACTATCGCCCTAGTTTTTTCCCAAATGCTCAGCCTGGTAGAGGGCGGGGTACATCGTTCTATAAGGGACCGCCTTTTGAGAGGCAGTTCAGGCCAATAAATAATGGGAGAACATTCAGACCGCAACCTCGCCAACCAAATGTATGGCATTCGTTCCAGTATAAGGCTGGAAGGGCGATACCTTTCAACGAGATGACTAGAACCCAACAAAGGCGTTTTCAACGGAACTATGGGCGAATGATAAGGCAACAACAGGGAATGCTACGTCCTAAGGCACTTAGACCACTCGAGGCAGCCAATCAAAATGTTCTCAAAGACAGTGAAGAGACTGGTACAGGCGAACCTATGGAAGAATTGCCAGAGACTTCTTCTGGGAGGTCGAAGTTTGAGCGAGACAGAAGGGATGGAGAAGATCCAAATCAGCCCCTTACTATTTAGTTTGGTACGTTACCTCCTGTCGTGGCTAATAACTATTTACTAGCTAATGAGTTCAAGAATAAAGGGAAGGGAAAAAAAGAAAAGGAGGATAACGAAGAGGAAGCATGCATGCTGGAATATGAAAAAGGCCAAACTTTTAGAGAGGCCTACAATGGTGAAGAAGATGATAGTATGACAGACATCGAAGAGTAAATCGATTTGGAGCAGAAAGAAGAAGAAGAAGAAGAGTATCGTACAATACTCTATTGAAGCAACTACATCGAGAGGGAGTTCGTGAAGTAGACTTATTGGGAGAACCATCTGTGCGTTCTTTTGATTATTACGTGCTGTACGGGACGCCCAAAAGGAATAAGAGAGTGCCTCGCTCTGAAAAGTATGCATCACCTCCAAGAATAATGCCTCCTCCCACAGGTTGGGTAACTGAAGAAGAAGCATCGGAAAACAGTAAAAAGAAAATTCAGGAGACAGAGGCTCAGTGCGATATGCTGCACGTTGACTTATCACAAAAGGGTAACTCGACAGAGAACAAGCAGGAAGTGAAAATAGATGCTGCCAAAAAGGTTATTTTTAGGCGACCAGCCATGAAATTGATCAAACACTTGAGGCCATTGTACGTTAAAGCTCTAGTTAACGGCATATCTGTGGCAAAAGTACTTGTCGATAATGGAG